CCCATTTTTGTCATTATTTCAAACATTTTATATGTTTTTAAGTTTCAATTTTTTGTCTTCAAAAATGTTTCGTCAAATCCACGACTGAATTGTGGGAACCGTTGAAGTGATGACTGGTATGACTGGTGCGCAAGAGTTGGCCCAATGATGCAAACAATGGACACTTTGGTGGAGAGTGTGATGGAGAGGAAGACGACGTATACGTGTGTCTGCGGCCGCGGATTCATTGACAATGAGTTTGCGATCCAATGCGATCACTGCAAAGAGTGGTTCCACGGCCTGTGTGTCAGTCTTTACGAGTTTGAGTCCGAAGAGATCGACCGCTTCTACTGCACGGCCTGTCACTCACTCGACAATAGTCTGGTTTTAGTGCCCAAAGCCGTGACCAACAACTGGAGACACAACCCGACGGAACCCAATCCAACAGAAAAGGCCATTCAATCGGGAACTCAATTATTCATTAGTAACCTGAAGAACAAGAAGTTCACGGATGCGAAGACCGACCCATCGGTGGTCCGGCGTATGAGAGGACAACAGTTAACATTGAAAGAGCTTAAAAGGCCATTCAATCGGGAACTCAATTATTCATTAGTAACCTGAAGAACAAGAAGTTCACGGATGCGAAGACCGACCCATCGGTGGTCCGGCGTATGAGAGGACAACAGTTAACATTGAAAGAGCTGCTCCTCAATGGCTTCAAAGTTCCCATTTTGATAGAAACGAAGGACGGCTTAGAGCTAACGGTTCCCACTAAAGAAGAGTTCGGGTATCGGAATCTATTAGACCACTACAAAGCCGATTACATGTTGGATGTGATTGACGTGAAGAGACAAATGAATATCAAAATGAGAGTTCAAGACTTTGTCGATAAGCATAGCGTTGAATACGAGCGAAGATCTCATGTTTATAACTGTATAAGTCTTGAAGTGAGCAATAATAGCCTTTCGGGTTCGGTTCGGGCGCCTAATATAGTCCATAAGCTTAGTTGGGTTGACAATTACTGGCCTGCAGTGGAATCCCGACCCACGGTCTCAAAGTACTGTCTCATCTCAATGAAGGACTCGTTCACAGACTTTCACATCGACTTCGGCGGCACTTCTGTCTGGTATCACGTGTTGAGCGGAGAGAAAGTGTTTTTCATAATAAAGCCGACGAAACAAAACTTAGAGCAATACGAGAAGTGGATGTCATCGCCGACTTCGACCGACCGTTTCCTGCCAGACATCGTCGGACACGACC